ACCACCACCACCACCACCACCACCAACAGCAACAACAACAACAGCAACAACAACAACAACAACAACAACAACAACAACAACAACAACAACAACAACTTACAGCTCTGCTGCGTTCACAACTCGAAACATGACAATGTCATCATGATGTCTCAGCAGAGGCTAGGGATGCTAGCACTTCTTTCAAATTAAATCGATTTACTGCACAACGTCGACATTAACAAAGTCGTTGATGAATTCGCTGCTGCAAAAGCACGCAAAGTGGCAGTCAAGGTAAGAAATAATAATGCATAATTTTATTGTTGTGGGACATTAGTTACATTATCTTACTGGTACGCTGTCCATATTCCTTACTGTCATACTTTGGAGTGGCTGACAGACAGACACACGCACAAACAGACCGTGCATATATGTGAGGCAGCGTGGTGGAATCAGGCTCTCGTCAGTTTTTGGGCATATAGAGTTATTGGTATCATCTTAAAGCTTGTTCACTTGTCTTTATTTGGATGAAAAAGTAGCCATGTATCTTGAATACAAGTCGATATATTTGTGAATGAAGGAGGTGGGGTCGCCTGTTTTCGGGGGTCAAATTAGTGAGAAAATGGCCGCCAGAGATTAGTTATTTCCTTAGCTTAAGAGTCCGTGGTAACTGAAAATTTACTTTTTTATGCCTTTAATCAACCTTTTTCAGAAAAATCCACACAGAAATAAGTTCTTTAATGGGCATGAAAAGTGTTGTGCCAAAAAACAAATATTTGAACAAAATTCACCAACCAGCGGAAAAACGCAAGTTTCTTCACTTTGATTATTTTGACGAGAGCATGATTCCGCCACGTTGCCTCACATATGTGTAGTGTGTATATAGTTTTGAATTGCGCGCGCGCGCGTGGGCGGGGGGAGATTTTGCACCATATCTAACTTTTTCAGGCCACTCAGTGAAGAGTGCCTTGTGGCCTGCTGGGTCCACAGAATTCTACACTTAATTCTGTGGCTGGGTCTTAATCCGGCACTGGTCATGAGATACGTCTTCCCTCACTCAACTGCCCTAACAACGTTTGCCTTCTGCCATTGCACTCGCTGTGTCCCAAGCCCTCTCCACCACACAGTCAACAGTCACACAGGAAAGAAAGACAGAGAACATCACCCCC